TATATATATATATATATATATATATATATATATATATGTTTATGAAATACATGTTCTATGAAAATCATATATATGTTCTGAAAATCGGATCTATGCGACCTTTATAAATTACTTTTAACTATTCTTAAATTTAATTTAAAGAAAAAAATTGAAGCCATGTTTAAGAAAAAAATAAAAAGGCCCCACGTGCTTCATGTAAAATACCCACAAATTTTAAAGAATGTTTTTCGAAATCCAAAAACTTTGATTCGAGCCAGATCGACACGGTTTTCTTCAATTTGAAAAAAATCCTACGCATGGTTTATGCGCTAGTGGAGTTCACAGACGAACGGACGGACGGACGGACGTTTTGCTGTCAATTGGTTTTTTGGTATCAAGGACCCACAAGACAGAACTACACACCATGTCGGGGAGTTTTTCTTCTAAAATTAGCGACAGGTTTCATTCCGAGGGCCCGGTATTGATCAAATAATGTGTAATTCATGTTACACAATTTTAAAAAAGCAAATGTTCACATAATGTTCTTCGAATCCTTTTCGCATCATGACAGAAATCAGAAAATATAAAAGAGTTGAAAGCGAAGTTCCCTTGGCACAGACAACCAAGGTCGCGTGCAGGGTAGCCACCAACGCACCCGTTCGCGCGCGCTGCGGGCAGGGAAAGTGGTGCGACGTTGAAGGAAAGAGTTGTGCAAATTTCTTGGGGAATTCGCTACGCAAAGGCCTCTTGACATGTTTTGGAAAAGTCGGCTGGCAGTTGTTATCCCAATTAGGCGACATTAACTGTCACTCACTTTATGAATGCGAAGAAATTATCCATTAGAATTAAATAAGTCAGTAATATTTGATCTTATCAAAGGAGAGTAAAATTAACTGTTTTGAATTGAAAGGACCTTGATTTCGTAATCGCGTTTACCTAAGATTGCAATATTTTCATTAACATTTGCCTTTGCTTAAGAATGGAATATATGCATTCACTTCCTACGTTCGGCTTAGAAGTGAAAATTCTTGACTGATAAATGAGTTTTCCGCCCGTAAAAGCTATGTAATAAATTTAAGATAAGGTTTTAGGTGAGGAGGTATCATAGATTGGTTAACCTGTTTTACAATATTTCTCTAAACAACAAATAACAGAAAAATACTAATACAGCACAACAGAAAATGAGAAAATAGACAAAAAAACTTTGCCATTCAAACATCAAACTGCCCCAAGCAAAAAATGATTATACAAGGCAGAATTTAGGAAGAAAAGAGTCATAAAAGCAAGTAATAAGTAATACCATATTCTTGTATGTCAGTATAAACCAAACCTCGGTTGTTGGCTAGACTATTCCACTCAAGGCCTATTAGTTTCGATCCAGCCAATAACTTTAAATTAAGACGGTTATCATGGGCGTTTAGAATTGAATAGTTCTCATGTGTACTTTTCACAATCGTTTTACTGCAGATGGCGTCCAAATGTGGGGGAAAATAGATAAATATTCCTTCAGTGACGGATATGCAATAAGCATCATAGTGTCTGAAAGACTCCACTAAGAAACATTTTTCAGCATTTTGTAACATTATATTAATGCTATTAAATCGATTGAAGACTTTAATTCGTGAAATAGTATAATCGAGTTTCGTTCGCCGCTACATGATTCGAAAACTTGTCGATAAATTTCCAACCAGTAGTGATATTCTCCAAACATATAGTAAAATGAAGCCTCTAAACAGGTTTTGACATAAATGATTAGTCGTGATATTCCGACCGCGTTTATGCTTACTTTTCCAGCTACAGTTTGCACGTTTCTCTCCTTTCTCCTGCTTTATAATTATGCACCAAGGGTGTTACAAGCGATATGCGGAAAGTACCGGGCAGCGAAATAAGCCCGAGAGTATTTTGTCGCCCGAGATCATTGAAATCAATATTGTTAACGCCCGTGGTATAAACAATATTTATTATTTACTTATTTAATGATTCAGAATTACTTCTATAATAATTAAATAGATGTTAACTTCACTCAGTTTGTCTTGTTATATTTCTCTCCCTACTCTCACTTTTATAATTTCCTGAAGTGTTATCAACCTCAACTGTGTAATCATTCAACTGTTTTCATATTTCCTTCGTAACCAAGGTCCTCTCGTGCCATGTAAAGTATGCAGCGTATAGAGAGATCCACATCAAAGGCAGTAACAAGCAATAATGTATAGTAAAAAATAAAATTATTTTTCTGTTTTGAGGAGACCTTGCAAAATAGTTTGTATTTCAAATGACGGCGCCCTGCCGTTTGAATGTCCTTGCACAAGCAAGCGCTACCAACGACGTTGCTTCGCCTTGCTTCGCAGGCAGCGAACTGGAAGACAAAATTTCTGTGAGCCGAGCCACCTAAAACTGGAAATGTATGAAACAGAATTCTCTATCTTGTGTAGCAGATAATATGTAGTACATAATTTACTTTACCTGTGCTAGTGAAAAATACTAAACTAACTGTGCTGGTGGGGTGACAAAGAATCAAGATAGAAAACAATTAGCTGATCGCAATATTTTTCGATGAAAAGTATATTTAAATTGGTCGTTTTACGTGGTCGTGATAAGTTTCGTTATTCCATTTGACAACAATATTGAACCCCAATATTACGCATATTTCAAAATACCTTAACAAAGAGCTCATAAAAGGGCAATACATTTATTAGTTTATTCTCCAATGTATTTCTGGGGATATTCTATTACAATACCTTCAACCATTCAAAAACTGCAATATTTCCTAACTCATCTAAAATAATAGTCAAAATGTTACATTTCCTCTAAAACGTAGGGTTTTCCTGCCCTTTCCTTTGAAGGTTCTCTTTTAAAATAATGGTTTGCTTATTGACTTTTTTCATATATCTCTAAAACAATATCATAGCAAAATAATTGCAAAAAAGTGACCTTAAGATAATACTTCGACATTATATATATATATATATATATATATATATATATATATATATATGTATGTATTATCGTATTTATCTCCATTTCCTGTAATCGAAGACACTTCCGCTTCTGACTAACTCAATTTCTTCTCTTCATGTAGTGTAGTGGTTACAAAATGCAAACTATTTGAAGTTTTTAAGAACTGAACTGACGTACAAAAAATCTACATTTCTAACTTCGAATATACACATAAATTGACGGACGTGCAGCCTCTGGCATTGTGAAAGATGTCTATGGTTTCGTTAGATACCCAGGAAATCGGGTAAAATCCAAAATCAATTAAACTGTTTCGATTTTGTCGGCAAGCATTTGAATGTCTTATTTCACTTATTTTTATACTGTATATATAGTACGAGCGGTACTCAGCAACCTTATTTGGTCATATTTAAGACGAACCATTTCTTGAAAACTATTGGTTTTATTGAAACATTATTGTAATTGTACAGCGCAACGTTTCGAAGCTCACAATTTACCTCATCATCAGGCGTAGTGTGTCATCATAGGCATAATTCACAGAAGAATTAAATTTAAGAAACATTATTTGGCAGATCTCAAAGGTCATAACAATTAAAATATTAAAAATCCAGTCTGACTGACGGACTGTTGGCCTGGCGTGCAATTTGTGATGAAAAGATAGAGTTTTATCACTAATGATATTAGTACGTAAAAAAATGTTGTGTATATACTAAAGTATGTTATTAAGGAACTCGTGAAGGTTGTTTTTGTTAAAATAATCAATTACAATGTTACAACATATCTTAAAATTTATTGATCTTGAGCAGTGTGAGTTTTACTTTTTGGGAAACCATTTTGTGAAGTTTCATTCTACAGCATTTTTGCTGATCCAGACAATTTGTATAGTTATAACGTATGTGTTTGTAAATATCATAGCGATGGATAAGAGGAGCGAATTTGTAAAATATAACTAGAAATTTTGTAATTTTCCAACAAATAACACTTTAATATGAACTTTATTTTTGTTTTGTAATCAACGAGATCTTCGACGTCAACGCATCTTCACTGTCTACATCGCCACGTAGTACGATTTATTTAGTAGTGCGTCTGGCGGGTATCAGCTGTTGACGGTTTAATCCAATCCGGACCTTTTACAGTGTGTAGAGGCCGGATTTTGATGTATTTTATGTATGTTTATACATATTATTTTATGAAAAAGGTATTTAAAAAAATCAGAATTTTTTCGTACGTGGTTAGTGCTGTTGAATTGAAGTGCGCGCCTGCTTCAGATATCTCAGTGGCGGGAAGTGCGCATCAGCGACCGAGATTGTTTTCAACTTTAGGTGCGAGAAGTATCTCTGACGCCACGTTTAGGGATCTTTAACCTTCATTTCCAAGAAACGTTGGCGATCGCCGTCATGTGAGAGTTCGACGAGAATTCTGCACGCTGTAGTGATTTGGTTGGTCGTAGATATCGTCAGTTTGTACGAGGGCTTTTATTACTTCTAGTCTGGCTGCTAAAATACCGTCCTGAATAGCAATATATGAATCTTTTATTGCTAATGAGACAGTTGTATGGTGCAAAATATGTACAACAACTTGTGCTCTCCAATTTATTTTAAAAACCGTAATATTATTTTTTAAATTTGTTTAGACATTTTTTTATAAATCGAATTTCGTATTAGGTAAATGTGTTTTATAAGGAATTATTTTAATATTAGATATAAAATGTGATTTTACATATTTATTGCATATTCTCCTCGTTCTCATTATATATTTATGTACATATTTTTTTAATCTTTCATACTACACACTTTTCACGTCTCTACTTATATGTCGCTATAGTGATGATAACGTCCAAGCTCCCGATAGGGTGAAACCGTGAACAGCTGATTTCCTTCAAACGCAGGGTTAAATAACTCGAAGAGAGGCGACTGCCGCTCCCCCCTCTGGCGCGTGCGCTCACCGTGGCGCCAGGTGAGACGGCGGCGCCGCCGGCCCGGCGCGGGCGCGGTGCGCGAGCCCGCCTCCCCGCCGCCGCCGCCGCCGCGCCAATCAATGGGCGAGCGCGCAGTCTGGCTGCGAGCATGGACTCGGCCGGCGGCAGCGCGAGCGCGAGCGCCAGCGCCAGGCGGCGGCGGCGGCGGGGCGAGCACGGCGGCGCGCGCGCGCCGCCAAAGGCCAAGGCCGCCGCCGCGGCGCCCCCGCCCCGGCTGCAGCGCGGGCCCGCGTCGGCGCGGCGCCGCCGCCGCCGCCCGCGGGCGCGGGCCGGCGGTGCCGCCTCGGGCTCGGTGTGCGCGCGCCCCACGCCGCCGCCCGGAGGCGCGCAGCCCGCCGCCAACGCCGCGCCGCCCGAGCCCGGCCGTTGGCTGTGCTGCCTGCCCTGCTACTGGCTGCGCAGCAACCACAGCGTGCACCAGGCCTCGCTCACCGTCGCCATGCTGCTCGTCACGTCCCTGCTGGTGGCCAGCCCCGTGCTCTTCCTCATCTCCAGCGCGCCTGCCGGCGACCGCTCCAGGGAGTGCCACCACCAGGTACCTACTTCTTCAGCTCCATCACGTTTACCGAATGCTGCGTTGTGTCGCAATTTTGTGCTTGATTTACTCACCCTTTTATATTTATATTTGACGAACAGTCGAATGCTTCCGCCGTGTCCTTGGTGAACGGGAATTTGACACGACCTTGTCGTGCCTAATAGACAACAAAATATCCCCCGGCAAAAGCTCCGAAAGTCCGTTCAAATCTTGACAACCTAACTTAACCGTTATATATTTTAATACATTTTCAACGTAAACCAACAAAATGGTTTCCCTGTAACAATCATGCTACAAAATTATGGTCGATGTATTAACCAATACATTTATAGCAAAGACTCGTTTTAGTAAGTGGGCATAAGAACTTTCTTTCTGCACATAAACAAAATGTAGTTTTTAGCTTAAACAACTGAAAGCATGTTCAGGTGTTGCGTTTCTCTGAAAACTTTATTCTATTTCTACGCGCACAAAAACTGCCGAAATAATAAATTAAACCAACAAGTGACGTTACGTAAGGCGTACTGCAGTCGCGTGGTTTCCCTTTCCATTGACCGATTCGAGTGTTCGATTCCCTCGGAGCGTACCATGTGACGTATTCCCGCGGGGCGGCGTGCGTGCTGTCTTGTGTTGCCTCGCGTGCTGTCCGATGCGCCGGCGCAGACACGTCCACGGAGACTTCGACGCGCGGGCGACGGTCCAGTGACATGCACGCACTGCGTTGCGCAGCGTCTGAAAGTCGTCAAATTTCTGTCAAAAGATATTTATTTCAAAAGAGCAATTGTAAAGAGGAGAATAAAAACTAATTCTGTCCATGTTTTCATTGAGTAAAAAAAAGTACCGACATCATGGAACGTGCTCTCTTGATACGTTATTATTTATATTATTATTATTATTATTATTATTATTATTAGAATTATTTTACAGGTGAGTTATTTAATAACAATCACAAATTTTCTGCTCTCATTTTTATGCATTTTTTAGAAAACAAGTTTCCCAAATTTTTCTGTGAAGTAACAGATGTTATTAGCAGTCTTAGAAGGAATTTAACAGATTTAACTCTATTTTTCTGTTTTTTATTAATATGTGTTATTGTAGGTTAACAGTTTAAGAAAGGTTTCGAAATAACGAAAGAATGGAGATTAGTGTCATTATTATTATTATTATTATTATTATTATTATTATTATTATTATTTTTTACCATTTATCATTCTTGTCAGTTATTGGGGAAGTTTTTGTCAAAGAAAAGTACCTGCATCTTAACTTCAATAAATTTTCATTTCAATTTAATATTCTTCCTTGTGACTCTATTTAAGAAACATCCTATAATGAAAATTCTGACGGGCTGTGAAAATTAATTTCCGTGTTCAGAGAAGGAAATTGCTACAGCAGGGATCGTTTTTCACTTTTGAAGTAAGTTTGTCTGATTAAAATTTAAATTAATTAGGCAGACCTGTGGTAAGGTTCTATGAATAATGACGATAGTTTTGTCAGTGTTCGAGATCAACTAATATTTGCCGACATATATTATTTGTCGAACAGACAGATGAAATTGCAACTTGGAACCTGCAATTGTAGATATTGCCGCTTAGTTCGATAAACTTATAAAACTATTTTGTGATTTAGATAATCCTAAGTAAATATAAAAATGTTATGGTCTTGAGGACATTAAAGTTTTATATTTCTGACAGGTCAGAATTTGTTGCCAATTGACACTAGAGAAATAAATTTGTTTGAGGGAAGTTCCTGAGTCAGGACCGTCCTGGGTGCATTTATTACAGTGACGGCATGTTAAAAGAAAATGGCTCGATAGAAGATTGATCACTGCCTTTATAAAATTTTTATTAAGGTGACTTCTCTCATCAGCCATTTTATTGGCTTCCTTCGATCATTTCGATGCGAATGACAGAAGAGCATTTTAAAGAACGGGCTTCACGAATCACTGCCTATTTTTCGAAATCGATTCATTTTCGAAATCGCTATCTTCCGTTACGTCGAGCGGTGTTGCAGGCATGAGTATTCTCTGCAGGACGTTGCGTCTCGGCGCAAAAACTCCTTTAATGATTCTTTTCCGTAACTGAGACCATCATATTATCTCCCCTTTCCAACAAGCGTACAAGCTTTCTGACAAATGCAGCTTTGTTCGTTCCAACTTTCGGGTAGAGCGTGGATGGGCCTGCCTTTCAGAGGGAAAAATCCGTCTGAGGCTAGTTGGTGTGGCACGGCGCCATCGCTGCGACAGGCGTCGTGACGTCGGCGAGGTGGCTGTGAAAATTCGCACATCGTTCGGATGAAACGAACAGCAAGAAAAACTTCCGTCTGAAATATTAAAAATTAATGTTCCGTAAGAGACGGATTTTCGACACTATAGCCCACCACTTGGAAAGAAACAGTGGTTCGCATCACAGACGATAGCGTCGGAAATACTACTTCAAGACGACCTGAGGTGAGGATTGGGAAAAATCGAACAGAACAATTATCTTTAACAGTTTGGCTCCCAGCTCCGTTTATTTTCGGTTCAAGGCTTGACGCTGACGGATTTTTGGTGCCCCTTAACCACTCTTGGTATGGACAATGAGTTTTGCCAGGAAGAGAACCTAGACGTCGCGTTGAATTCTCTAATCGGTTTTTTAGTAGTTTCTTCCAACGATTTCCTAGCAAATATTAAGTGACGATAACAAATCGTGCTAGAGCTCGTATCTTAGCTGGCTGTTGATCCTTGTTCACACGTTTCTCTCTTGCACTTCACTTGTTTCTCTCGCCACGCAACATATGGGACACGCTTCTATATCTCGGTTCACACGACAGCATATTTCAAGTTACTATTATCAAGTTGATATTATAAGTTTTTCCTAGCATGTGTAATTTCCTAGTATTTGTAGTGGTTTGAACTATGCCACTTAAGTTTTTTGCTCTTCCGAACCATACTTCACGAATTTACTTCAAGTTTCATTTTCAAAATTATATAATGTGCCATCTGATGAGCAGCCAATAAGGGAAGTTTTGCCAGTCGCTCAGGTGGCAGGAACGCGCTCTGAACTGCCGATGCAGCGTTCTGCTTGGTTCTGCGCTAGATAATTTTGTCCCTGTTTTCTCGTCACTCGATTCTTTTGGGTTAAGGGAATTTGTGTACTCGCATGTTTATTTGACCCCGGAATACCAAACCACACTTCTTTATTAACATTAGTTGAATTCAGAAGAGATGATACTAACAATCTTTCTTGATCTGGTCAGAAATATTCGTTCCAGTCTAATAGCAACTAATTTGCATAGAAAAATGAGCTACAGGTTTGATATAATAGTCCCATCGACAAAATAATCAAATACCTTACTCCTCTCGCATCTAGCGAAATGCGGTCTCAAGAAAACCTGCTCAGTCCAACACAAGAGGGGGACATCAACTACACTTGTGGAATCTTATTTTTATTTGCCATTTTCCATTTTTACACAAGACGTTTTTGTAGGAAATAAAATATTCGAGGAAAATCAAATTTTCGTTTTGAAAATTCAATTAATAAGTGTAACTGATTGTACGTTGGACTCCTTTCAAAGTTTTCAGATGACATGAATAGCGTCTTCCCCAAATGTGTTATGTACGCATTCTAAGAATGCTAACTTAAAACGGGATAATTGATTTGATCTGTAGACATAAATGTTTTACTTCATAGGGCTAGGTGGGACATTTTTAAATATAGAGGGGCCCATGATCCCCTGACCCCACCCCTTCTGCGCTCGCCCATTTTCGACTCTGGTGGTTATTGGGTACCAGCGAAATAAAACTCCGATGATAGGTCCTAGTTGATTACGATCATTGTCGTAATTTATTTATTTATCGTACGGGACTATTTGCGGGGACACTGCCCTTAGGCAGTCGTCGCCACCCGAGTGTTTCGACCCAGGCTGCCTTGGAAGCCTACCCCGACGCAGATCTGTGGGCCTTTATGGAGCAGGCGCACTTGGCGGGTGGTGCCCTGACGAGCCTGGGGCGTGACTTTCTTTCTCAGCCAGACGTCGGTCTCACTTAACAATGTCCAAGCAGAGTGGTTGGGAGAAAGTGGCATATCGCTAGGGCGGGAAGTTGTCATTGTCTGAAAGAGATCCTAGGTGCCGCGTCGCACGTTCTAATTGTTCGTTTCTGTACTCTTCCAATCATTCCCAAGTGTATGTCCTCGGATCTCGCCAGATCATTTCGCCTCCATTTCTCCAACCTCTTTACCGTGGAGCCGGGAGGTTCTGGTTCGACCCATTTCCGAACTGACGGCACTGCTGCGCCTGTGACCAGGAGGTCCTAGGGGTAGTCGGTACTGGCATTTCCGACATGTTGGGTACCTTGGTCCAGAGCAGCTGCTGTCTGAAGGAGAATTCGAGCTGCTGGCTGCTCTGAATGCCGGGGTTTCTCCGATCAGCACCAGGCGAATGCCGTAGCACTACCCTAACACGGGCCGCGCGCGATATTTCTTTCCTCTTCCTTGTCATATTCTCACCTCTTGCACACACTTACACTAACATGCACAACACTAACACACATTCCGAGAGGCCAGTCGGGATCATAAAGCTTCTCTTGGCTGGGGCGGTGCCTCACCGGTGAGAGCCCTGTTTGGGAATATCCCGCAAGACGACAGCTAGGTTAGTGCCGGATCTTTTCCGTCCCAGCGGGTGAACCTCACCAAAGAAAAAGATGCACTATACTTACGGGACTAATGATCATAGCAATTTGACGCGACAGTGAAATATATAATAATGAAATCTTTCCAAACACGCGGTGCGCGGCATTGAGTGAAGGTGACGCGATTGATTTGGGTCTGCCACAAAGCGTCTCACTGAAGGAGAAATGGGACAACATTCCAAATATTTTTTTTTGTTATTTAAGGTCGCATCAACTACTAGGTCATTAGCGACCACTATTGCTTGTAACGGTATGGTAACTGTGGGTTGACACGATAATGATGATGATGATAGGGGGTGAAAGGACGAAACACAATACAACCATGCCCGAGGCGGGA